AGAAAGCCATGAAACACATTCATCCGCTCTATCCACTCATTGGCAATCTCTCTTGCCTTGCTTTTTTTCCGCCTGCAGAAGCCTTCACAGCCGGAGCCAATTGCCACGAATTTGGAGCCAGATGCCACGAATATAACTTTTCACCTGTGGTCTTTGGTCTGTCTGAAACCCGTTTATGGTCTGTCAGAGGCACCATTGGCATGGCAACTGTTTCTCCACAGATACTTGCGGGAACTTGGCGGCAAGCAATCGCGCTTTGACGAATGCTACTGGTATTGGCCTGCTCCAAAACCAGGTGCTTGGCCGCTGTCTTCCTTGACCACTCATGTGGATGACCTGGCTGTGGAAGGTTTCAAGCGATGGCTGGATGAAGTTTTCCTCAAGATGACGAAGAAGTTCGGCAAGCTGACGAGGCAGTCATTGCCATTTTCTCATTGTGGATGTAAGTACTCGGCCATCGGCGATGGTTACCGTGTCGACCAAAGGGAGTATGTCTCTCAGCTCAAACCTGTCGACATCGATCCCTCTGACTCCGATGACCGGGCACTCACCTCTGTTGAGACCACGATCCTGCGTTCAGCCATCGGTGCTCTCATGTGGACAGGCATAACCAGGCCTGATCTTCTGGCTGAGCTTTCGGCGCTCCAAGGCATTATGAACAAGGGCAAGGTCAAGCATCTCAAGGATGCAAACGCACTTGTTACCCGAGCAAAGCGCGACAGCGAAGCTGCCATACACTACAGGCCACTCCAGACGACAAGGTACCGCATCGTTGTGGTGCACGATGCGTCGGCCGCCTCTTCCACGAAGAATTACGCTCAAGAGGGCGTTCTTGTCTTCCTCATGGCAGACTTCATCAACACGAAGGAGAACCACATCATTGCAGATGATGACTTCGCAAGGAATGTGCTCTCCGGTCGTGCACAATTGCTGCACATGCAATCATCGAAAGCGAAGAGGGTGAGTTATTCAACCTCGCACGGTGAGACGCTGGCAGCGATAAACGGCCTTGAGTGTGCCACGTTAGTGAGCACAAGGCTAGCTGAGCTGACATACGGGGGTGTTCAGCCCACTATCCGTCAGCTTTTAGCTGTGCAAGAAAGGGGTTCCGTGTTCTTCCCCGTAGACTCCCACACAGACTGTAAAGACCTGTGGGAGTTGAGCACAGGGGTACGATGTGTACCACAGGATAAGAGTCAGAGATTGTATCTCCTTGCCCATCGTGAGGCGCGAGCCTGCGGACGCTTGCGCTGGTTCATACTCACACCCACACAATGTATGACATCAGATGCGCTCACGAAGGTGATGATCTCTCCATGTCTCATGTCCTGGCTCACCACGGGTTGTGTGCAGTTCTGGAACGAGGGTCATCCTCTCGAACTGAAGCGGCTTCCTCCGACAAGCGACTTCTCGGAAGACGATCTGCTTGCTGGCGATGAGGTTCTCTCCAAGAAGGTGTCATGGTTCCATGCGATTCCCTTTTTGGCCCTCAGTAATCGTCTGTATGGTCTCGTGCTCATCTCGACTTTGGTCACTCCTGCAGCTGCTCAGCCTCCGCGAGCCATCTTTGACTACTATGACCTGGTTCTTCTGTTTATTGCAGTACTCCTCTGTATTGCTTCCGGCTCCATCGCAGTGATGTTTGATCGCACCTTCGTCAGACGTGCTACTAGCTCTTCGTTGACGACTTCTCCGGGCTCAGCGACTACTTCCACGACGACTGCGACCAGTTCGTCTTCTACCACCGCTGCTGTCGCTGAACCGTCTCCTGAACCTCCTACGGCGAGCACGACTGCTCCTCAGGTCATTGTAATCAGACGTGGTGGTCATGCGTACCACCGACCGTCATGTGTGTATGCACAGGGTGGTAAGAGATTTACCGCCTGTGGGTTCTGTAATCCACAGAACAACTCCGGCTGAGGGCTCGGAACTTGCAAAGCCTGAAGCGGAGTCATTTTGTTTCAGTTCACTTGGTGTGCACAAGAAGCATCTTGATTCGTTACTGCAGCCGGCTTGAGCATCACAAAACTTGCCAGTTTCAATTCTTCTGACTTCCTGGGCCGCTTTGGACGAGTCAAGGTCATTGTTCCCTTTTTTTAATTTACTGGGGATTAGTATTGAATAGGGGAATATATATATATATATAGTTTTTTTATATGTGACATGTGTATTGTAGGCTTCATGTTCTTGGGTTAAGGGTTAGTAGGGAACAAGGAATACATCATGTAGGGATTATAGAGGGATAATAGTCCCGTATTCCTACTAAAAGTAAAGCTTGATGGCACGTTTTCGAAAACCCTAGTGCGGAACCCGTAGAATATCCGTGCCTATATCATACACCGAGGGTCCGTTGTGCTAACCTTTTCGAGACAACTTAATTTTGAGACCGTCGTTAATTGCCTGTTGCCTTGCGCATGTGTAGGTTTAAGGTTAAGGTCTGAGGGGTGAACAGTAGTTCAAGTATGACACACGAGTTTTCCAACCGACCTGGGACTGACATTAAATCCTAGCTTCGAGCCGCGGTGGCAGATGATTGGCTTGGCCTCCTTGTCATGATGGTTGTAGCTTGGGGTTTAGAGTTCAGGAAAGATCAAATGCTGAGGCACTGTGGCTGACTTTGAGGCGCAAGTGCTTGCGATCAAAGGCCTTTTCGATGCAGGCCGTGCTGATTTGTGCTCGTCACAGTGCTCACTAGCCTGGAGATTCTCAACACGTCCCTATCATTTTTTGGCCAGAAATCCCGAACAGGATGTGGTCGTCTTCCTTGGACCCTGAAGCCAGGGGAATGAGATTTCCGCGCAGCTATTGCTTCACACGTTCTGAATCAAGCGTTGGTCCAGAAAACATTTGGATGTTGAACAACAGTGGATTGTGTAGGGCCTCTTACCGCGTGATCTTGTCGTTTTCAAGTAAAAAAACATAGAGAATCCTGTTTTCGGTAAGCGTTTTCCTTGGTTTTGGGGCCTCAAACCTTCATTCTCCATAGCATGCTGGCTCTTTATCCACGAGTGACTCTTAAAAGCCTTCACCAGCTTGGACACAGAGTTGGTGGGCGGATCCTCATAAGTATGTTCATCGAATCCATTTCAATCGTACCTATATTCCCGCCGCCACTCCCCCTTAAGCACCAGTAAGCGTAGGCGTCGCACGATGATTTAGTTATCCTAGAGCCCGAAGGTACTCGCCCTTTGGATTTTCTGAAGGTCTCATCAAATATTGGGCGCTTTCCAATGAGAACAACTATGGGGCCGCTGGGCAGACTGCTTTGGATACAGGACCTCAGGTCTTATATAGGGGTTATATAGATAGGGACTACATAGGGATATATTTGCCCAGATGGAGATATGGAAAATGAAGCGGAAGCTAGGGCACTGGGTTGAGCGGAGCAGGTTTATGCATTCGGGCTGTAGTTTTTTTTTGGTTATTGGTTATTTGCTTGGTTTGTGGGTGAAGTCTCCAACGTTGACTTTCCCACCTTCCGGCGCGGCCAGTAGATGTTACAAGTATATGCACAGATCCATTAACTTGCAGCACGGGCTGCAAATGATCCCACAATTTTCCAACATGCCAATAATACAACTGCAAGACCTTCAGCGGAAGCAGGAGATGAGCTAAAGTTCTTTTGGGTTCTTGCCCATTTCAGGGTGATTCTTTTGAATGTTCCATCTTTCGTTGATTTCTTTTCTTTCTCTCTCTTTCTCTCTCTTTCCTTCCTCTCTCTCTTTCTCTTCTTTCTGTGTTCTTCTCCCTGTCTGCACATGTTGCTCTTGCGCAATAGCGAGTATGGCAGAGTTAACGCAATTCAGAGCCATTCCATTATCTGGGTCTTGGAATTGTTTTTGGTTGGATGTCCCCAAGCTTGCCAATCCTAAGACGTGGGCTGGACACTTCTCAGCTCCAATCCTTGTTGCCAAAAGTCCAAAGCCGCGTATTTAGGTTTGTTTAAGGTTAAAGGTTGAGGGTTCGGAGTTAAAGTGTTGAGCCTGAAGCCCTGATCAGCAAAAGGTTGCTATGTTCTGCATGGTCTGCGACAAGCTGGGTGTGGCGCGACCCGTTTGCATACAGAATGTGCCTTGGCCTGCATCTTGGCTGGTTATCCAGATTCTTGGGCGCGCGCTGTGCGCATTCTACAGGGATTAGTGAAGGGCTTCCTTCTTTTGGGCACTTTTGGGGTCCCCCCCTCCGTGAGGGGATCTCTAAGCAGCGAGTTAAGTTGGGGCTTCGTGGAATAAGAGGGATTGCTATCATTCCCTTGCGCCCCTTTATTTTCAACTGTTGTAGACGATTTTGGGAAATACAAGTTTGGATGATCATGTCTCGGGTGCTTGGAGAATACCCACGCCTAAACCAAAATTTCTGCAAAGAACCAGGAGGTGTCTGTTATGACTTCTGGTAGCGTTTCTGGGTAGAGGGTTCAGGGTCGCAGGTTTCAGTGAGCTGGTGGGCTTGCAACACTTTTTATGGATGGTTTTCTGCAATTGATAGAGTAGAGACTCGTCATGCATGGAAACAAAGTAATTTTGTGAGAGCCGTGCTCAATTGGCAAGGTCTTTGCCTTACAGCAATCGGAGTTTCTGTCTACTAGCTGCTACAACTTTTTGTTCTTCCACATCGTCATAGTTGCATGCACCAAAATGGAGCAACACCAATTGAGTTGCTGGCTCCAAGTGTAGCACCAGACTCCCTAGTCCATTCACCTTCTATTTTTTGCATCTTATCGAGCACTTCCCACAAGGAGCCTCCAAGGTTCTCAGCGCTTTTCTTTGAACAGGAGCTTTCATACAGGTAAACTTGTTTGTCTCGCAAAGAACCCATGCTATAATTTTCAAATCCTTATACGGAGTCTCATGGGGGCACCCTTCACCTTTTGGAAACCTCCAGAAACCTTGGATGAGGGTAAAATCACCCAGGACTATGGGCTGACCAATCGCACCTTCGAGAGTGAACTTTGGCCGATGGGTTGGTTGGTGGGGAGGGTTGGACTTTCGGTTTCCGGTGGCTTCGGGTTGAGGTCTGGGGTTCAGCTTCTTCCTGTAGGGCCACCAGGTCTGCAGCGGGGAGTGTTGTGAAGTGTTCAAGACCTCAGCATCTGAAGCACATGCGGAAGAAGCCAGAGTGAAATCAGCCCCTGGGAGAGTCTTTTGAGTTCTGGCTTCAAAAGATAAGTCTAGTATGGATCCATGAGCTCAAATGTCGAATCGCATGTCGGAGAAGCTTTCTTTATCTTGCAAGTTACAGCTTGGGACTCCAATATCATAGGGTCGCGTCGCCAGGGTGAAATTAAAGCCGCAGATTAATCTGTGCATGTCTGAACGGTTCACATTAAGACCATTCGCTTAATGCTACCATGACAACAAGAAAACACCACCCCAAACTTGTCTTGCGTTTTTGGTGCACAGAGGGGGGGGGTTGGTCGCAACAATAAACCAAGGGGTTAGGGTGGGACCAGGTAGTGCGGCTCGTAATACTAGTATTACAAGTAGAAGGGAATTTATAAAAATCGGGACGTGTCTGGCCGGACAGTATTACTATTGCCACTCCCTTATATTGCCGATGGACCTTGTTTAGTCCTTTTCGGGCTCCGAACTTGTTAGAAAGCAACTTTGATTGTCTGGGATTTTTCTGGCTCGGCAACAATATATCGTTGCCTGCAGCACCTAAGATAACTGACATCAGTCGCTGAGGACGGCTACGAGAGTTGTCATCGCTTTGGTGTGGTGAGTTGCCACTATGGAGCATTGGCAGGCCCACCAGGAAGACTTTTTTGAAAGGCATGTGGTTCAATGCTTTGGTGAGGAAGAGGGTGAGGATCGTGGTTTAGGCTTCCAACCTTGAACTGGCAGCTAGCAGTGGCAAGGATGTTTGTAAGCCTAAAATTCGGGGCAAGCGTCATATGGCTCGTAGTCCATAAATCACAGTTTTGGAGCCTGGGAGGCTTTTGTTTGCAGAATTCTCCATAGGCTCGTATCTCTTGGAGCCCTACTAACCTCGAGCCATTAGCCTCAAGTCTGCAACGTCTCAAATGGACGTGTTTGTCCACATAGGGATTAGGGGCTCAGAGGTCAACACCCAACATATATATATATATATAATTCAACCCATAGTCTATGTATAAATAAGTATTTTATACAATGTAACATGTCAAGTAATGTAAACTAGAATGATATAGTATATGGTAATATAGTAAAGCATGATAGACTAATATAATGTAATGCAATATAATGTAATGTAATATAACGTGATTTAATATGATGTAATATAATGTAATATATTGTAATATAGTGTAATAAAATGTACTATAATGTAATATATTATATTATAATGAAATATAATACAACATAATGTAATATACTGTAATATAATATAATATAATATAATGTAATGTAATATAATATAATGTGATAAGGCTTCACCATACCGCGCTTCGTGCAAAGAGAGGCGGTGTGCTCACTGGCAAGTATCTCCGAGACTCACCCTACGCGAAGAAGGACATGGCGGTAGGGGTTCAAGGGATTTTTGAGGGCTCAATAGTGGAGTGTGAGGGACCATTGAGGGAGTATTGTTCATTGTCCAGGTTTCAGGTCTGCCACGGCTTCCCCGCACATATGGCTGAGCGGTTATAGCTCAGGCCTGAGTTATGATTATGATATTGGCTGGTTGCCATGCTTCCACTTCTGACAAGTTTTCTCAAAATTACCAAGAGCATTTCTTTAAAGCGAACCTTGAAGGTTTTTTCTTGGTCACTCAAGGTCTTACTTTATAATTGCAAGTTGCACCTCCCTGTGATTTGAGCTGAAGCATGCCCCAGGATCTTTCGAAGAACAAGAAGTTCCTTCTTCACTAAACTGCTCATCATATCTTTTCGGTATCGGGTGCTGGGATATGTTCTTCTGAAGGCAAGGCCAATCAACCTACGCCCT